TGGTTCCCAAGTTAGCGATTTTCTCGCCAAAACTTTGAGACGCTCGTACGCGGGGCCTAAACGTGCATAAGGATTGGTACGGCGGTCCTGGGGTGGTACTTGGCCAAAGGACCCCCTCGCAAAATTTTGGTGCCGGAGCTTGCTTGTGTGCCGAGTTGAAGTACCCGGACAGACGCGCGCACACACACACGCAAACACACACACATACACACGCACACACACACCGGGTTCGTCAGTATGCGTTTTCGCATTTGCATGTATGCAAAAACGCATAAAAAATGGTAAAAAATATTATGGACAGGCACAGAAATTAAATATTGGCAAGAAAGTTTGCCTAATCACCGCCAAGTTTAATTCCAAGGTGCTAAAATTCAGTTAAGGCAGCAAAAGAAATAAATGCAGTGAAGAGTCAAAAGTCAAAATATCAAAACTTCCTCCACATTCACTTTTTATGAGACGCAGAGACACTCAGAAATTCTCTAAGGGCAAGAAATGCTAAGAGCAGTTAAAAGCGAGAATGTGGATGTCTCTCTGCTTCGAACGTTGCTTATGAGCAAGCTGATGAGAAACCTAGGTACCCAGTGTATGCCACCACCGATTTCCCGTCGAAATAAGAAGTAAAATCAGCAAGATGAAAAATCAAGGCTTGAACTAAGAGCGGTTTCGGAAAACACACATAAATTTTGCTCGAAGCACTTTAAGAAATAAAGAGTTGAAGTAGCCTTACCACTACGGATCTATGTATGGAGATGTTTGGATTAGCGTTTGCCTTATCAAAAGTAACCATGATAATCGCTTGCATTCTTAAAAAAATGCATTAGGAACTAACACGAATGAAAAATTTCACTGAACATTTTCCGACCGTCCATTCGGTGTCGCCCATCGCACTGCTCATCAAAATTTTCGCCTTGAAACTTTCCCACTGAACGCTTACTGTTCCTTCGATCGCTAATTTGTCTTTCAGTCTTGCTGATGCTTGTTGTCTCGCACTGTGTTCATATTGAAGTTTTGATTTATGGTACAAGTGCACGCAGCAATATTTATGCTATACTTTCAATTAACGCTTCCGAAAAAAAGGGCTTTTACACGTTTGTTTAACGGCTGAGCTGGTAGTCCTTCCAAAAGAAGAATGTGTATCACAGTCAGCAGCAAGCTGTCAGCTTAGCTGCGCAACATCGGTCGAAATCATTGGGAAAGTTTCCAGCTATACAATTTAATTACGTATTACAGCTGATCCAAGTAATTCATCTGTATGATTTTTTAAAACCAGCCAAAATTTAGAAAGAGTTTACAAAAACAAAAAATGGATTCTTTGGAATTTTTCAGCATCTTCAGCCGCCGAACTACTTGCTTCAGGAATTTTCAATGGTTAGAAAAGGAAATGAGGCCTAGAAGGACTGCAGTAAGCAATTTCGTCCAACAACTTCCTTTAGTGACGGAAAAGCCGAAAGCAGGTAAGGAAATCTTTGAATCTTGCAGTATTTGCGTGTGAAACACGTAATAGGTCAGAGATCAGATTTTACAGTTCAAAAATGTATTGTGGCGCATATATGAAAACGAAATAATTTTACATCCAACAAGGTCACTTTCCCCACGTATTGTAGGCCATACTATGCTTTTAGATCAGTGGGAAGAAAAACGTAGAAAAAAATATAGCCGTAAAAAACTGGAAAAAAATATAGCGGTAAAAAACGAACGATGATTGGGCATTTGAGGGACTCTGTGCGGTAACTAGGGATGATTGCTGTGTGCGTCCCAGCAACAAGCGACGCGCTATAGCCCGACGGTACCATGGTCTTGGGAACGCGATCAGTTCAGACAATCGTCGCATATCGTACGAAAATGTCGCTAATCCTATACTGATTGCACCAGTGATCTGCAAAACTAATTGCAATCTATCACCTTGATCAGCAAATGTAAGACAGTAATCAAATTACAGCCCATTAAAATATAAATGGTTTGATGCTGTAGTTGACCGAAAATTAAATCAAGGGCGTATAGGTACAGAATCGAAACTCGTCTTTCTGAATCAGAGAAAGGAAGGGAATGGAGAGGCGGGAAGGGAGGGAGGGGGGGAAGGGGAAACAACAATGAAATCTTGTACCTTGACATTTGTACTGCCTCGCAACAGTATCGCTGATCGCGAAACGCCAATAATAAGTTTATCCAGCGTTAGTGCAAATGCATCTACTGGCGAGGGCTACAAAATTATCAGATCTGCTCGTAGTTCTTGTAATATATAAGTAAATAAAACTCCTAACTTACTACAGTAGTAAGAAAGTGGTCCAGTGATGAAAAGGACTGAGCGAGTGTGAGAAGAGTGATGTAACTGTGGTAGTCCGGCTTTGCTTTTTCAAAAATACTTTTCTTCATAGCAGCTGGCACTTACGGTTACACAGTATGCCTACTTTGATACTTTAATCAGGTGCGCTCCACATTACAGTTCTCCAGTTGCGCAGTTGGCAATAGCCCAGTTGCTTTGGCTAATACTGCACTTCCAGAAGGTGGAGGTCAGCCTGTTGGTGACCATAGCGTTCGCTTCGTCAGCGTAGAGGTTCACCCAACAATTGTCGAGGCTTTAGCCGCTTCATGGTATCACTGATTTTTGTTTTAGGTTATAATCTCATCTCGAATGCTGTCGTATCCCAGAGCCTTACAGACTAAAAGGATTCGAATTATATCGACCAAAGATGATGAAGCAATGAAATTAAAGCTGTTCGAAAACGGCCCTCTTTCGCTTGCTTTTAAGCTTTAGATTTGGAGCTAAATAAATCTAAGATAATAGGTTAATTTAGTAAAGTATCTATGCAAAATAATCTTTTGAAACGAAAGTGCTTAACTGAGTGAAAAGCGCTTGAGAAATGTTGAAATCTTGAAATTGTTTTTCAGCGGACATCACCAACCTGATGTGGGTTATAGAGGCAGATTGAGAACGATCGTAGGCTAAGCGATACATCCAAGTCACTACTGATGTTGCCATGCCGAGCTATTGCAACAAGCTTCAATGATGGTAATTGTAAGAGGAGATCCATTGCCGCTGCTCTCTTAAAAAAAGCAATCTTCTGAACAAGGTCAGAAAAACCGGCTGGCGCAAAATAGCGAATGAGATTCTGCTTTCGGCTTGAAATTCATGTTATATGTCGAGAGTTATGCACTTCTTTATTCATTTCACCTCTCTAAAAGATACTTGCAACCGATATTTACAACGAGCAGATCAATTTTGTTCACAAAAATAATTCTGAAGTACTGACTATCACCAGCCTGCATGTGGATTTCACAAAATTAGCAAAATCACCCTTACTTACACCATAAGACGGCCAGTCTTTTTGTGACCTTCATTTGTGCATCTGGTAAAGGACTGTTCATCGAAAAGATACCATGAAAATCTTAGGTAAGACAGTGGGCATTTCAAAGCAAACTAGTTAGTCAAAAATTTTAAACAGCCCCATACAATTGCCAGTTGAAAATGTGCTTGGCAGAAAAAACAACAGCCATTAGCGTTAGTAACTTTCATGAATGCATTAGCAAGAAAGAGAAAATAATTGGCCAACGTACGGGCTCCCCGTGCGAAGATGCGTTTTTTGCAGAGTTCCCCGCAATTTTTGTCGCTGCCGGCATCGGTTTTTTCCGCAAATGCTTCAAGCTAAACAAATTAAGACTGGCTGCCAGAACTGGCAGGAAAAACCCCTTAAAATTTCAACTTTCTAGTTTTCCTGGCTCCTGAGTTAGCAACTTACTGAAAAAAATTTTCACGGGCCCGCACGCGGGTACTACATACGCCCGATGTCTGGGTTTGAGCTCGTTGAGACTTACTTGGACGGAGAACATCTTCTTAAAACTACAGTCTTTCAGCTTTACAGGTTCTCGAGTTATGAGCTTGCCCGAGAAAAAATTTGGCGAACCGGTGCGTAGGTACCACGCATGACCGAGGGCTCAGTTTGATCTTATTGAGAATAATGTGGGCGATAAACACCCTCTTAATGTTACAACCTTCTATCTTCTCAGATCCCCGAGTTATGAACTTGCCCGGCAAAAATTTTGGCGGGCCCGTACTCCGGTACCACGCTTATCCGGAGGATGGGTTTGGGCTCATTAGTACCTAGTTGGACGGGGAACATTCCCTTAAAATTTCAGCCTTCTAGCGTCTCAGGACCCCGAGTTGTGAATTTGCGCGGGAAAAATTTTGGAGAGCCCGTACGCGGGTACCACGCCTACCCGGGGGTTGAGTTTAAGCTCAATGGTACCTACTTGACGGGAACATTCCCCTAAAATTCCAGCTTCCTAGCATCTCAGAGCCCCGAGTTACGAATTTGCGAGGGAAAAATTTTGGCGGGCCCGTACGCGGGTACCACGTTTACCCGTGGGTTGAGTTTGGGTTCATTAATACCTACTTTGGCGGGGAACATTCCCATAAAATTTCAGCTCTCCAGCTTTTCTGGTTCGCGAGTTAACAGCTTACCCGTAAAAAACTTTGGCG